GGCAATCGCAACTAAACCTTCCAAAGAAGTCAATTTTGGTGAGTCTATCGCTTATCTATCCACGTCTGTCATATATTTTCATATTAATTTTTAATATATAATATATTTGACATGACGGATAACGATAAGAATAGTATTAATATAATAGACTCTGACGTACAGGTTATACACTTTCGACCTGTATCTTTTATTCCTCACGATCCCGAAGTTTGGTTTGCTGCTATAGAATCTCAATTTGAGACCCATCATATTACAAGCCAACGGCAGAAGTACGCCTACGCTCTCGAATGTTTACCGGGAGACCATTTAGTAGCTGTTCGTGAGGTTGTCCTCAATTCCAATGTGCCCAATGTTCACGATCGTCCCAAGGAGGCGATCCTCAGACATTTCCTCCTATCGAGGGAGGAACGATTGAGGACGTTATTAGCACGTCACCCCCTGGGTGATGCTAAACCGAGCCACCACCTCACGCGCCTGCAATCTCTTGCAGGACCCACAGCAGCCGATTCTGAAATCGTTAAAGAACTGTGGCTCGAATCGCTACCAGTATTTATCCTACCTACAGTTACGGCCCTGCTCGAGAACCCACCACTGAAACAGGTAGCCCTCACAGCAGACAAAATTATAGCTAGGACTGACAACCGAGACAACTACGTAGTTGCCTCAACGTCGCGTCCGAAAGTCGATATCGACGGCAGCCACTCCTCGGCTCAACGTGACAGGGAAGGGTGTATTCACACACGTCTTAGTTTTCGAGACCGTTGTAACGTACCCCAACCCTACGTCCCTCGAGTCCGCTCACGCTCTCGAAAAGCCGTCAACACTCGCCCAACGAGGGCATCTTCCAAGCCACGCCAAAAGGCGGCTTCGGAAGCGAGTGAGGGTTGGTGCTGGTTTCATCGATCCTTCGGATCTGGTTCCCGCCGTTGTCGAGCCCCGTGCTCATACAAGGCGGGAAGCTCCAAAGCCGGCGAGTAAAAGCGGCCGTACTCGCCGGCCCTGCCCTTTCAGGTTGGCCGTTTATTTTACGTGCACGATTATCGCACAAACGCTAGGTACCTAGTGGATACAGGTGCTCAAGTTTCTGTCGTACCACGAGGTAGCATCAAGTCACAAGCTACAATGCTTCGACTACGCGCTGCAAATGGCTCAGCCATTCCTACGTGCGGTACACGACAACTCGCGGTCAACCTGGGCAACCGACGATGGTATCTGTGGACGTTCATCATTGCTGATGTTCCCACAGCCATACTAGTTATTGATTTCCTACAACACTATGAATTGCTAGTCGATTCACGTAGGCTGCAGCTAATCGATACTTCGTCGAACAGTAAATTCATGGGCTTTAAAGCTCACACAAACGCGTACCGAATCCTCAGCACTTTTTATTCGCGTGACAATAAATTTCACGCTTTATTCGAGAAATTCTTCAGAATAACTAAACCACTCGAGGAGATTTCATCGGTGACCAATCGTGTGGTACACCACATAGTCACCCGCGGACCACCAGTCACGGCAAGACCACGCCGACTGGCACCGGACAAATTAGCCTTCGCTAAATGTGAGTTTGACAATTTACTATCTACTGGTATTATTCGTCCTTCTCACAGTCCTTGGGCCTCTCCATTACACATGGTGCGCAAAAAGGGTGGGGTTAGTTGGAGACCATGCGGCGACTACCGAGCATTAAACGTAGTTGCACGCTTTGATAGCTACCCCATCCCCCACATACACATCACGGCATCGCTCAAGGGCACGCTATCTTTTCTAAAATCGATCTGGTACGAGCATATCACCAGATCCCTGTCGCTCTTGAAGACATCAAAAAACTGCTATCACGACTCCTTTCGGTCTGTTTGAGTTCCTACGAATGCGATTTGGATTACGGAATGCTGCTCAAATTTTCCAAAGGTTTATCGATAGCATAGTACGAGACTTGGATTTTGTTCACGTCTATATTGATGACCTGCTGATCGCATCATCAAACGTAGATGAACATTATCAACACCTTACGCTATTATTCCAACGTCTTTCGGATAATGGAATAGTAGTCAACCCAGAGAAATGTGAATTGGGTAAATCAGAAATAATATTTCTGGGTCACATCATCAGACAAGAGGGTATTCTGCCTTGCGAGGACAAAATTCGAGCAATCAAGGAGTACAACGTGCCGTCCTCACTCAAGGAACTGAAGGCTTTTCTCGGTTTGGTTAACTTCTACCGACGTTTTATCCCTCACGCGGCAGAACGGTTACGACCATTAACCGATTTACTACGCGGTAATCCACGCAAATTAGAATTGAACGATACCGCACGTACTGCATTCTCAGAGATCAAAACGGCTCTCGCTGAAGTTACACTCCTCTCTCATCCTGACCCATCAGCCACGCTTAGTATAGCGGTTGATGCATCAGATTTCGCTATAGGAGCCGTTATGCAACAGAATATCTCCGGTAGTTGGCAACCGCTCGAATTTTTCTCACGACGCCTTACTCCCACGGAGACGAGATATAGCGCTTTTGGTCGCGAGCTGATTGCAGCCTACTGCGCCATCAAACATTTCTGGCACGCAGTAGAAGGACGTCAATTCATTTTATTCACCGACCATAAGCCCTTAACGTATGCCCTGCATACCAAGTCTGACCGCTACTCACCACGAGAGTGCAGACATTTGGACTATATCTCCCGGTTCAAGACAGACCTTCGTCACATTAAAGGCGAGTCGAACTATGTTGCCGATGCTCTTTTACGTATCCAGACGAATGCAGTTACCTTACCTGTGCTCGATCTTCCTGCTATGGCGGCCGCACAAGCAAACGATCCTGTCTGTACAGAAGCACCACAATCTTCGTCCCTTCAGTGTCAGGAAGTACCCCTAGCTACTAGCTCAGGTACTATCCTATGTGATATTTCTACCGGTCTTCCTCGACCCATCGTACCCTCTACCTATCGCCGTCTCGTCTTCAATGCCCTTCATGGATTGTCTCATCCGAGTATCGCAGCCACATTACGCCTCATCGCTGCACGATGCGTCTGGCCGTCCATGAATAAAGATGTTCGTATGTGGGTAAAGCAATGCTTACAGTGTCAACGATCAAAAGTGCACAGGCACGTAGCTGCCCCCATTGGCACGTTCGCTACGCCTGATGCTCGCTTTGATCACGTACATATAGACATTGTAGGACCATTGCCACCATCGCATGGGTATGATCACATACTCACGTGCATTGACCGTTTTACAAGATGGCCCGAAGCTATTCCCATCACGTCTATTACGGCGGAGACAGTTGCTCACCGTTTCGTAGAACGATGGATAGCATTGTACGGTTGTCCCTCGACTGTCACGACTGACCGAGGACAACAATTTGAGTCCGCATCATTCTCCTCACTGACCCGGCTGCTTGATACGGAACGCATACGCACTACCGCCTACCATCCAGCATCGAATGGTTTAGTCGAACGGTTTCATCGCCAACTTAAAAGTGCTCTTCGAGCACAGGAAAACGACAATTGGTACGAAACCTTACCGCTCGTTCTCTTAGGCATCAGAACGAGTTTGAAGGCAGATATCCAATGTTCTGCCTCTGAACTTGTATACGGCACGACATTGCGTCTGCCTGGGGAATTCTTCACACCACGGAGCAGTAATGATTTCGGTAAATCAGACTACGTCCATCGACTGTCTGCATTTATGCGAACGCTGTATCCGGTGTCAACTCGAATACAACATCGACAGTTCGCTCTCCCTCGAGAGTTATCTACCTGTTCACATGTTTTCATACGAGTAGATTCGGTACGCAAACCTTTGCAACAGCCTTACGAAGGACAGTTCCCTACCCGATAACTTGAGACTCAATGCTAGACCTATCAAACCTACTAGCGGGATCTCTACATCTACCTCGGATCCCACGCTAGATACATCAGAGACCTCGTTCTCACGTCCCGGTCAACAGCACGCGTCATCTGCACCATCTACGGACGAGACTTCCGTCTCACGTCCAGATCGGCAGACCACGCCGCCCTTGACCTCGGATGAGATCGCAGGCTCACGAAGTACGAACGAGACCACCGTCTCACGTTCCGGTCGCCGAGTACGATTACCCGTACGCTTTCGCGACGGATACGGTGTAGGATTATTCCTATACTACACGCATGCTACACTTTTCTTTTTTTTGATTTTTTTTTGTATCCTGAGCCAACGCCTCCGACCATCGCCCGTTTGATAACGTCGACTTCAGTCAACTTTGGCAAAAGCTGGTTTGGCCACCCATGCTCTAGTAAACGCACTCAGTCGATTATCTGGTCTCGAATTCGCCTGGCATACGCTTGGTCGTTATGGTCGCTTCCGGTTTCTTGGCTCAACGTGGTTTCATCCTACGTCTGCAGCGTTTTCTGGTCCGCATACCTACGAACACAACCATCAGATCCTGGATACAAACCACTCTGGTGTGGTATGCTAATTCGACCAACAAATACAGCACACTTCTCCTGGTACCGTTCTGCGCAAAAGACTTTCGTTGGCAACTCGGGGATCAACGATCACTTCCTGTTCCGCCAATTTCCTCCGTCCTACAACCGCACTTCTGCCGATCAGTCCCACGAATCAAACCGCTAACTATCGAAAGTGTAAAACCTTTCTAGCGGGGGGCTCCTGTAGTGACCTACTTTTGTCAACAGAACGCGATTGGTTCGATGAAAACAATTATTATTATAACCAATTGTACCAGTGACTGTTTTACCGTGCTCGTTTGTTTAACTGTGCTAATAACAGCCATTTTGGTCTTCCATTGTATCCCATTGCTTCTACGCGGTTTTCGACTACGCACGTATCTTTTCTTGCTGATCGCATCTGTACTCCTTTGGCACGATCTCGGTATTCTTTCGATACCACGAGATCACCAACAAATATATTGCAACTACTACTATCATATGCCTTCTGATTTTTGGCCTACCGGAATCCTATTGGTCTATTGGCACGTAGTCTGGTAGCGGTGTTCATAGTCAAGCTCAACTCGACACCACGCTACTAGTTCTTGTATATCACGAGAAAACGAGTTTAGGCTAGATTGAGTATATGTGATTTGGATTCTGCCGGATCCAGTAGACCTATCACTTCGATATAGGAAACAATTTTCAATAAACATATATAGATCGGAAATTTTGCAGATAGTTCATGCTTCAGATATCATTATAAGTGACGTTTGATAAAGGGATGCAGACAGGAATATATCTGTCTTTTTATGAGAGATCTACTGAGCGTTGATATGACATGTGTAAAATAAGTGGCTCACTATGTTCAAGTGGGTGAGTGTATATTGATATCTTGAGCAACTCTAGTTTATTCTATTTTAAAGACTGTCAGACACTCGCTTTCTTTGTAGCACGATATTTTACCAGGAACTCTTAAGAATTAGGAGAGGCAAGACATTTGATACACTGTTCTCTGTTTCTGCGAAACGAAGACTTTAAACACAGTAGTTTCAAGGTAAAACATTCCTGGCCTCGATAAGCAAATTAGCGCTATGGACGGTGTAATTGCAAAATGGGAGGAGTTTGATAATTCTAAGAAATATGAAGAAGCATACTCTGTAATATCCAATGCAATAATTGATAATAAGCATCCTGAATTGTACTGGAGGAAGGCTCGTACCTGCAGAAATTTAGGTAATCTTTACAAATCTCTTAAGCCAATATCAGCTAACTCACTGGGTAAAAACGATAAACAGGTGTACAATAAGTACATAGAAGATGGTCTTTCAGCTTGTGAAGAAGGGCTACGAGTAGATCCAGAGAATTCTAAGTGCAACTCCGTACGTTTTATTTTCGAATAATTCAATAATAATATATTCGAACCACTACAGTGGTACGGAATATTTTTAAACTTATCATCAGAAATCGAGGGAATAAATAGGAGGATAGAAAATTCTTTTAAGATGAAGGACCATTGGATGGTAACACTGTTTCACCAAGTTTATCCCTCAGAAAGCCATAAAAGCAAATCCTGACGACTTTGTTACATTGCACGCTCTTGGGAGATGGTGAGTAATATTTTATGTTTCATGGCATTTTCATAGGTGTTTCGAGGTTACAGATCTCCCATGGATAAAACGAAAGTTTGCCGCTACCTTTTTCGGTGAACCACCAACATCTACTTACGAAGAAGTAAGTTTAGTGGCTAATGCGAATAACACTGTAGGCTCTTAACTATCTCCTTGATTCAGAAAAAAGTAATTTGTGTTCTTTATCTGCGATATGTTTGTTATAGAGGCTCCTGGAACTATTGCAAAAAATTCTCTTTATATAGCAAAGACGTACCACAGGTTAAAGAATTATGATCTGGCTAAGCATTATTGTCATAAAGTGTTAGAATTTACGGAAGATGACTTGGATACTGAAGAGGTAATCCATTGCTTTTTGTTACTTTACTGAGACACTTAGGCAAAGAAGGAGGCGTCCGAGCTGTTAAAGAAACTGTAGTGTTTTCTCACTCTCTTCAATTAATTGACAAATTTTCGTAAAAGCATATGTTTTTTGTGAGATCGAGTTTTTAAATCAACTAATAGTGTCATTATCTGTAATGTCTACTGGTGTTTTCGGCAATATTATGGTGACTTTTATTCGTCCTTTTCTGAAATTTGTTAGCTGTTTCGGTAGTTTAATTGATTTGTATTGTTTAAATCTTCTCAATGATATTTAAGACTCTAACGTAGGTAACTCCAGCTGATGGGTCCTAAATAGAACAAAGCGCGCTTCTTGAATTCCGCTGATGACCACCATTTATTCCTAATTATAATGTCTTGATGAAGGTTTCGCTTGATATCGTGATGCAAATCCTCGTTGTGAGATATTGAAATAATTACTTGGTCTGTTTATCTCGTATAATTACTGCTAATTATTCTTGTGAATACTCAATTCCATAAGATAACGATACAGTCGTCTAAACCGATGTGAATTTTTGGCTTGAACATATCCTACAATCTGGAGGATACAAAATTCTCCAATTCTATGTAATTAATATTCCGTTTATTATAGAATGTTAAATCTCTGTGAAAACGTATGGCATAACCTATTTACTTAAAGAAGTCGAAGATTCTGCAGTAGGTAACATAAATTAACTTTAGTAATGGTCTATTTAATTTGCTCAAGATGTTTAGCATTTGGAAATGTTTCTTTAGCTTTGATAAGACAATTCAGAAAAGTTTCAGTGCTTGTTTTAGGAATAAATGCCCGTTTTTTAACTTGACTGATGTGTTCAGTAATCTCAGTTAAGATAAGATTCGTATAAAATCCACATAAATTTAACTACTGACTAATATTAGAAATCTGATTTTTAGCACATGACCATCTACTCTCCTTACTTAATCATGTAGTCATCGATAAAAGATGTTTGTTTTCATAAAAAGTATTGGCATTTCGAATTTTTCGATTAAATCTAATGCAATATTGGTGTAAGTAATTTCTAGAAGCTGAATTTAATATCTTTGCTGATGGATTGTACAGCTCAAGACTAAGTTACAATCTAAATTTCATTATACCAGAAAATGTTTTTCCTAGGAAACGTTCAGATATGTTTCTGTATAAATGTGATTTTTCATGAAAGTTCCGAAATGTCGAAAAGTTTGAATGGGAATGTATTTGCCGTATGTTGCATCAGCCTTACTTTATTGTTCATCCAAGTGATCAACGATGCGTGCTAACCAATTCAATAATGTATTTGCAGAAACCAGTTAAGCATATTTGTGTTAAGTCAAACATTACATTATGTTCTATGTGACTGTAATTACTAGAAAAGTAATAAATCTCTGTTCTATTGATGCACGAAGTTAATGTTCGTCACCTGTTAAACATTCAAATTAATGAAAAATACGAAGCAGAATTGTTTAATAGAAATAATCTCATCAACTTAGTTATAAACAAAAATTTTAATTATCAAGCGTCATATATAAATCACACTCTTAAAATATTTTCATCGATAAACTCAGCATCTATGCAGTAATACAATGTTAGGATAGTTGTTAGATTAATTGCGGAAGTATTTTTGCGGAGATATCAACGAATTGCTTGAAGGTTCTTTTCAGTGTACGAATGCCATATTAAGACAGCGAACCCAGTTATTTTCGGTAATGTGTATATCTTGTTGTGCACTAAAAAGCAAGAGAGTGATTTATTGTAGTGACTCGTTTAAACAAAGTGTAATGGATGAAATATTCTCAAGTGGAGGGGATTTGTAGCTCAGGTGGATGATTTTTGTGGATTTTTGTTCCTTGAGCTAGATCTAGCCTGTAGAAACTCAGTGCTTATCAGCGAGACGTTTCGCAAAGACCCAAGCGCCATTCCTTTGGCGTCATATGATTGCACCCAATGCTCATTTATAATTTTCGATAGGTTGGTAGCTAGCCTTGAACCGAGCTCTGTTTGATATTTATTCTCAACAGAAGCTGCAACCACTTTGCTGATACCATTCCGTTTAGAGCGACGAATTTGTTAGTCACTGAAACGCAACGCAGTCGGTGACTGGAGATCGTTTAGTTAGAACAGTTTTTCCATCTTTGGACGAGCTGCTATAGCAGTTGAATAATAAGAGAATGTGCAAAAGTGAAATAAACGAGTGGATGAATGATGCAAAATATAATACAAATGAGTATTAATAAGTCGTTTTGAGTATGGTTTGTGAGAATGAGAATTGAAACGTGAATAGTTTTTCTAATTGTAGTCATGATTTGGTTTGTGTGTGGGCTGGGACATTGTCCGGGTGCCCAAACTGAAAAAGGTGGTTTCCTTAGAGAGCCACTCTCTTAGAAGTGTAATCCACAAGGCAGTGGAGCAATCCTAGGAAATGCCGTCCCATGGTGGCCGGTGACCAACAACAGGCTCATAAACTAATTGTTTTATCAGGATCCCGGAGCCCATGTGCACGACTGGTCTAAACCCAGGGTTATCCGATCTTCCATGGTGGATCTTCCGTATCCGCCAAGCTGGTTAGAGCTCTGGGCATTCACTTTTCATACTCTCGATTTCGTAAACAAAGCAGTGAGTAGGACTTCTTTGGCAGTGGCTGTATATGCGTAGCCGTATGAGAGCATTGCAAAAAGGAGAGCGGACTCTCTCCACTCTTCATCATATCAGGGAATCTGGGTATTTTTAAAATATTCTTTGTGTTTTTCATAATTAAGATTTTGTAGTGTAACTGTTTTATTCATTCTCGTTCGACCCAAGTGAAGTCACAGAAAAATCTATAATAATAAACTTCCTTATGAGTCCAACTAAACAATAATTTTTCATGATCACATTTATGAAATATTTGGATTTACGCGTTACATGTCTCATGGACCAAACTAACTTTATTGACGAATCGCTTGTCTTTTTCGTTATACTTTATTCTAATAAGTGGGTATAAATCCATATAATGTAATTTGCTTAGTGTTGTGTTTCTTAGTCAATAATAATAGTTATAATAAATATATCAAAACATAAAGTTATATAAATAACCGATTTTATTTAACTTATGTGCTGACAAAGTTTTATGCACTAGAAAAACATTCAATAGTTTCACTACAGAGTGTTGACTTTTCTGGTTATCATTTTGTAGCAAGGTTATTTTTAAGGAATCAGGTTGCTAACCCCATGCCAAACCTCTCCTTTTATCCGGACTTGGGGTTGGCGTCTTCTTACTTCTTACTTCTTAATCGAATGATTTTCTCCGATCTCTGAGCAATTCCAAATAATATCATGGTTTACTTTACAGTTTACAATATTCAGTTTTTAAATTAAAACCACCTCAATGTGAAAAATATCATGTTTTATTGTATGCTTACTTACGGCTGCGAAACTTGGCCATTAAGAGTAGAAGATGCTAGTAAGTTCCCTCACTTGATCACAGATGTCTTGGAAACATTGCTTGCATCACCGGGTAAGTACTAGTGAGGTTAGACGCAGGGTATAAGAAAATGATGGTAAACCAGTTGATGAGGTTTCGAATCTACATCGAATGAAATGGTTAGGTCACATATTACGCATGCCCAACCACCGATTGCCATGTTGCACAATGCTGACTAGTATTGGAGATGAATGGAAGAAAGTTGGGAGCGGCCAAATCAAAACGTATCGTCAGTCCTTGAAGTTACTAATTTCTAGTCTTAGTCATGTTGTTAGATACAAACTACTTGGTTGGAGACTGGGTGATATGGCTCAGAGTTGATCACAATGGGTTAGGTGTATACATTTTGTTTTCCCTTAAATCATAAGATTAAAATTACTTTATACCTTTCTTTCTACAAACCAATTCTTTCTCCCTGTATCATATTCTTTTATAAAATCTTTTTATACTACCGTTAAAGTAACTGCTTCTATAAATTCGTTCATCTTGTTATACTAATAAGGTGTGGCAACTCGAATCGATGCACATATGTGCCTGGCCCTTCCTTGTAGATGACTGATTGACTTATGTCTAGAATCAACGGTTATTGTATTTTCAACATTATATGAAACATTTTTGGAAATAGAAAACTTCAAAATAAATAACTTGTCATTTAAATAATGTGAGTTTCTCTCATTTTTAGATTAGACTGCTAACTTTCGAGGTTATGTGTATGTAGATATGTATAGAAAGGTTATGGAACATGTGAATTATTTGTTTACTAATATACAAATGTCAACCTGCATATTTATGGTAGCCAATGTTTTGATTTGAATGAACTTCAACCAACATTTCGAAGTTTAATATTTGATATTCTTACGTGTTATGTGTAAACTTTATGACTAGTTAAATTATCGTTAATGCTTAAATAAGATTATTTTCAATTTTTTCACTACGTGTGATTTTAGACACATACAAAATAATACTTAAAAGATATTTTGTTTGTGATGATGGACTATGTACAGTTTTTTTTTGTTGTTGTTGATAATCCATAAATGTTCGCTGATCTCAATGGCCTTGTTTTGCCACAATGATGTAAAACAAAACAATGTACTGTGTAATAAAGACTACCTTTAGTAGATAAACGGATATGCCGTCTATATGATTGTTGACGCAACTTGATAAACGTCAAATAAGATTTTGAATAAATGCTAAAATTCTGTTATTTATTAAAATTACCAAGTTTGATGAGACTTTCATGTTAAATGAATTTCTTGTTGCATTCAGTTATCTTCTATAGTCAGTG